ATATATGTACACACACATATAAAGAAGATGTAGTACTTTGTGCTCATCCTCATAAAGCCTTACACTCATGCCTATGGCAATCTTATGCATCTCTCTAATGTTTTCAAGAATCATCTCTTTTGTTAAAACTCACTTTTTTCCTTGGATAAAACTGTACATAACACAGTAGATAAAACCTCCTCTACTGTCAGGGAACGTTTCAACTGGATATTCTTTTATATATGCTCTAAGCACTTTTAACAAATCACTTCACCGAAGTGAAGGCATCATCACAGTGGATAAAGAATAACAAAGGGCAACTAATGAGGCAATCACTATGAGGGGACTGGGTGAGGGAGCAGATCTACACACCATCCTGGATGCCTGACCCAGTCCTGGCCTCAACAGGTCCTCCAGTTACCTCATGGTGCGCATGTTCTGCCAATGAGAAGAAGCAGCCTAAAACAGTCTCTGGGGCCTGGTGTGATGTGTGATCATCTTTAAGGAATCATGTTTTTGTCAGGTTCTTTCACTCTTATGGAAAGGCAAGAGAATTCTTATCTTACCGGTCCAAATATTAAATGACAAAGCTTGTGGTAGAGTTCCTAACCGTGAAATTTTAACACTCAGCTAGGAATTCCCATTGCAAATTTACACTTGGTTTTCCAATTAAAATGGGCTTTTGTGAGTCCCCTGCTGATAGCCACTGGCTTGATAAAAAGTAACTTCATTTGCAGCAAGGGTGTTGAGGGAACTTTGCAGGGTCTGCTGTGCTGCCGTTGCCTTGAGCCCAACTGGGCTGGAATATTAAACTGTAGTAGATTAAGTGAAATTGCAGTTTCCTGGCTGATGCAATAATGCCCTCCTTCTTTTTCTGAAGCCCATCTTCAGCGTGAGTTGTCTGCACAGTTCTTTCACATTGAGTAAAATAAAATGCAGAATCTTCTCCAAATCCAGACGCCTTTTCCATTTTCAAGGAAATAATTGTCCCAAATTTTACTTGAAAGGGTTTATAGTTGTGCATTTGTGGCATTTGCCTGTTGTGCTGTTTGAGCCCTATCTGATGGAACCATTACTTTATTTCCTATATTCTGATGAACAATTGGATCTCTAAAGATATCAGCCATTTGCATAAGTAGTAACTTTTTATTATTTTAAATTTTTAACTTCTTTTTATTATTATCACTTTATGATACAGTTTCATAGGATCTGGGATTTCCCTTATCTCCTCCCCAACTCCCTCCCCACCTCACTGAGTTCCCCATAATCTTACTAGAGCATGTTCTTTGTACAGTCATATGTCCATCATTGCAGGCATGGACAATGGCAGAGAGTCCAACATCCTATTGTCAAGATATAGTAAGCAGTTTCATTGGGAGTCCATCTTCATGTGGAAGTAGAGATGCATACTGCATTGTATCCTCACATCTGGATATGATAGTCTGCATTACACCGTTACTGAACATTCCCTCAAAAGAAAAGCCACAATACAAAATCAACAACAGGAAGAAAAAAAGAAATTAACAACACCACGAAGCTATATTTATTATAATATATATTTGAACAGTAATGCTGAACTCTAAAGGGAGTGATACTCCCCATCACATTATTTTCAGTTACTTTTACTGCTTTTTCTCTTTAGGAATACTGTGAGTTCTAAAGTGCTTTATTGATGAAGATGTGCAAAGCTCTGTTCTGATTCCAGTTAAATCTGTAGAATCCACAGAGAGGACCAGGTGGCCTTGTATTTATTTCTCTTGTTGGTATGTGTCTCTGACCCTGACACAAAACCTGTTTGTTTGGTGGTCTGGCCTACTTGGTGTCCAAGAGGCTGTTGGCCTCTTTCAGATTAAGAATTTAGGAGACTCCCTTTGAAATGGAAGTGTTACTTGGGAAAGTTAACCCGTGAAAGCCTTTCAAAGATTGAGCCCACTGAAAACATTTTTATCAAAGTATTTTGAAAATGGTGGAGCCTAATGATTGCTTTTGGGAGCGGTCTCCAATCTATGTTAAAGTGCAGGGATAGGCCGTTGAGCCACCCATGACACCACTGTGCTTTCCTGATGTTCCTCAAGGGCCCAAAGCCAGGGGGTTCCTTACTGGGGGAGTCTGCTTAGCAGGGGCTTATGTCATGGGCCGTGTGTGGCCAGGATGGCTCAGGGCTGAAGGAGTTGACACTCACTTCTAAACAAATCCTAGACTCTATCACATGGTCGTAGAATCACTCCCCCGCAATAAAATAAACTGAAAGTGAGATACTAGCCCACATGATCTAGACCAGGTGTCTGTGCCAGTTCCACTGCCACAACAAAGACATTGTAGGCTTGGTGACTGCAGCAGAAGCATCCTGAAGTTTCTCTTCCTGGCTGGCAGATGGCAGCCCTTTTCCTGTGTCCTCTGATTACACAGAGGGATGGTGGAGGGGAGATGAGGAAGGAGAGAGAGAAAGCAAACGTCTTCCTATCGCCTTATTTACAATATGCCTTAATACAGATATAGACAACATAGCATCATATTTAAATGTGCAAAACATTGTAGGTCATTATATTTTATTACAAAACATTCCAAAATCCAAATTAATGAGAAGTGGTAGCAACAGGTTTATCAACAATCAAGCAGTACTCATTTGTCTCATAAACTGTGACATGTAATTTGCATCTGAAATCCACAGATTTAAAGATATGACTGACTTTTTAAAGATTTATTTATTTGGAAGACCGAGTTAGAAAGAGACACAGAGATCTACTTCTTCTTGTGATTCACTCTTCAAGTGGATGCAACAACTGGGGCGGAACCAGGCTGAAGCCAGGGCCAGGGACTTCTTTTGGTTCTTCCATGTGGGTGCAGGGCACAAAGCCTCTGGCTAGCCTTCATTGCTTTCTGTTAGCAGGCAGCTGGAATGGAGGTAGAGAACAGCCAGGACAGAAACCAGGATGCCAGCGTTACGTGCGGACAGAGGCTTAACCTCATATGCCACTGTGACAGCCCCACGATTGATCCACTTAAACGATGCTATTTTGTTATGCTATTATGCCATTTAAATACTATTTTATTACTCCTAGGCTGAAGTTATGTATTTTATGGTAAAGTATGATTCCTATGAAGCAGGGATACAAAAAATAAAGACATGTTGTTCACAGAGTCCCTCTTAATTCCCAAGAAATCGTACTTGGACACCTCAAAATCAGTGAATCAGGCATTCTCCCCTCAAATTAAACTTCTGAAGAATATTTTTATTTTCTCCTGATTGTGTGGGGACAACATATTTACATCCTCCCTTGTTCCAGGAAGGGTTTAAGGTCATTTAGAATACAGACTCAGAAAATACCACAAAGCACAGTGCCCTCTCAGGATGTGCTCCGGCCTCAGGATTCTGTTCCCATCACACTGGGGATCAGGGTTTCAGGACACAGATTGTGGAGGGAGCACAACATTCACCCACTGCAGTGACTGGAAAGACCTTAGGAGTGGAAGCTGTGGCATAGCACTTGGGACAGTCACCTCCCATATCTGAGTGTCTCTGGGTGCCCATCCGGCCCCCTGCTAAGGCACACCGTGCAAGGCAGTGGGCGCTGGCTCAAGGACTTGCCTTCTGGTCACTGAGATGGGAGCTCCAAGTGGACTTGCCAGCCCCTGGCGTGGGTATAGCTCAGCCCTGGATGGTGAGAGCATTTGCGGAATGAAACACTAAATGGAAGAAGTCTCCCTGCGCTGCCTTTCAAAAAAAATTTTTAATAAAACAAGTCAAACTTAAAAAATAATTTAAACCCATCAAATTGCACAGAGTTTATATGAGCCAAGCATGGTTTATGAATCGGGCAGCGTTCAGCACCAAGGCAGGATGCAGGAGCCCCTCCCAGCAGGAGGAAAAGCAGGTTTCTCTCTGCTGACATTGAAAGCCAAGTGGACTTAACCGACCGATGGGCAGCAGCTGGGGGGCTGCTGGCTTGAGTGCGAAGTGCTGATTTGGCTGCCTGTGATTGGGCCAAACTTCCAAAACTGCGTTCCGGTTCATTACAGAGGAACTCGGAGCACCGGGCTGGTGGCAGGCTAGGGGCCGCTAGCTCCCTGGGAAGCACAAACCCTCCCCACCCCTCCCCAAGAGCCGTCCTGTTGTAGGCTACTTCCTAATTCGGCCCCTGTCTACAAAAGCAGCCTCAGGTCTGGTAGTCACTGATAATCCCAAAGAACGGGGCGTAGAGATGTCCCCATGAAAAGATTGATCACATCAGGCAGTGTGCTTGGCACCGAGGACTTTCCTTTCACGGCATCGATTCTTTGTCCCTCAGAATCTGCTCCTCCTCGCTGCCCCCAGGCCAAGTCTCCAGCAGCCTTTCCGTTGGGAGGGCCCGGCCGGTCGGCTTCCAGAGTTTTCCAAAGTTTCCAAAGTGGGCCTTGGCTCCTCTCGCTCCCGCCCCTGAAGTCTTAGCTTTCTCTGGGGCGCCGCGACGCCTACCGGCTTGTGGGACGAGCGAGTGGGTTGCCCGGGCTTTCGCGGAGGGCACTCGAGCGCCCCAGAGAAAAAGGTGAGGGCGCAGAAAAAGTTGGAACCCAATCAGCGTGGGGTTGCGCTCCCGCGCCCCAACCTTCAGGTGACCCCGCGCGGCGGTTGCAAGCTGAGGCGGCTTCGGCGGCGACGACCAGAGCCCGCAGCGGCTCCGAGCGCCTCCGGGAGGACAGGCGGCGAGCTGGGCGAATTGTCAACCGCCAGCCGCGCGCCGCGCTCGCCGGGTCCGGGCCGGGGGCGAGCCGACAGCCAGCCGGGACGCCGCCGCCTTCCTCAGCGCCGAGGGACCGAGCTGGCTGGACTCCGGGGCTCCCCGGGCGTGCCGGCGGTGCCGCGCGCTGTGCTCGCCCCTCGCCGCCGCCGCCGCCGCCGCCTTTGAACACGGGGGCTGTGAGTGGTGGCTGCGGCCGCTGTGGCGGCGTTGGCGGCGGCGGGAGCGGCGAGTCGGGGCCGCCCCGGCTGCGCTTCACCCCGGCGGCAGCGGCGGCGGCGGCCACGGCGCCCGTGGCTCAGGATGCGGCCGGGGGGCGCGCTGCTCTCTCTGTTCGCCAGTCTCGTGCTGCTGCTGTTGCTGCGCCTGCTCTGGTGCCCGGCCGATGCGCCTGCCAGCTTCAGGTAACCCTCCTAGGCGGCCCGCCCGCTTAGTCCCGCGCACCCAGCTGTGCCGGTGCGCCCCGCTGTGCGCCCGGAGCCCCGTAGCGCAGCCGCTTTCTCCCGGCGCACGCAGACCTTGGGGAGAAGCCGACGGGGTAGCGGCGGCCTGGGGGTGAGTGTGTGGGGTCGCCGACAGACGACCCTGGCACCATGCCATGACCTACGGGGGCGGAGAGGGACCGGCCTGGGGTGCTAGGGCCACAGGGCACAACGTTGCCGGCAAGGAAGCTGCAGAGTGGGACCTTACCGTCGGGTGTCCTGGCTCGCCTGTCTCTTGCTTTCTCTGCCTGCCCACCCGCAAGGCTTTTGTAACCTCGGGGTTTGGGAACCGTCCCGGGAGCCCCAGCGAGACTCTTGAGCAGGGCGCCCAGCCCGCCAGTCAGTAGCTCCCCGTGGGGTCTAACAACTTAGTTTTCTCCCTGGCTCTGCAGGCTCTTGATGGAGGAGAGCAGGGAGAACGTCCATGGCAGCTTCGCGGCGTTGCGGACTCTCCGGAATAGGGCAGTCCCCTTGCCTAACACCACCAACAGGTACTGAGCGCCGGGCAGGGGGCTCCGGGGCCAAGGGCGGGGCTAAGGGGTGGGGGGGCTCAGTTGCCCTTGCGTGACTCGCTTGGCTGATGCACCTGGCTCGGAGCGGGGATGAGTGAGGGTGTATGAGGGCAGAACTCTGCGCAGTCTCGCAAGCCTGTAAAACCTGTTCCTCGATGTGGCCGTTCTCTGAACCAAGGGAGCCACAGCAGCTGCACTTAAAAAACGAGCTGCAGCTCGGCCTGACTTCGTGGAGGGATTTGGCTGCTTTGCTTTTTGTTTTCTCTGCTTTAAGGAACCCCAGTGTTAAAATTCAGCTTCCGAGGATCAGAATTCTGTAGGCCGTCAGTGTCCTGTCCTTGATGAGAAGGGACTAAAACATTTTCTGTGGCAATCGTATGAATGTTTAGCCTTCCGTGCAATAATTATTTGGGTTTTGTATTTTTTGATTAGCAAAGTGAGAAACAGCTGAGTGCAGAAAGTTCAATAAACAGGAGGAAAACACAAATCAAATAATGCCTGTTTTCTAATCTGGAGTGTGAATGCTAGCAGTTCCACAACCTGGAGACCATGTTGAGGTTTGTTCTGGTCTATAGTCTGATAAATGTAAATACATTTGAGAAGTCTAGTTGAGGTTAGAGTTTGTAGTTTTTTGTTTTTGTTTCTTCCACTGAACAAAGACCTGTGCGTGTCATTGAGGTTTTCTTCCCAAAGCATTACTTCTGATCGCTTCAAAATCCGTCCTGTGGGTGTGCCATGGTCTGACTTGTTTCCTGACGTCTGGCTTGCTGTCAGTGATTCTGTACAGTGTACCCTTGTACATGAATCTGCATCTTGAGTTCAGACTGATAGAAACTGGGCCATTGAGTCAAGAAGTTTGTCTATTTGAGGTGGTGAATTGCATCGCCAAATGCTTCCCAGCAGCGTTGAATCAAGTTTTGTTTTCACGGGCAAGTGTCCGGCTTTGGATCTCAGCATTATTATAGCAATTCTAACGCATCCTTTTCTTGTTTTCTCTCCTGTGGCTTCCTTTTGCCCTGTGCGAACCTCTGTGTATGTTTGGCTCCTTCTGATCTAGCTCCGCTTGATCATGTGACTGGAGACCTCCTCCCAAGAGGATTGGGTAGGGCTTAGGAAGGGTCTAGAAATGCCTGGTAGAGTACCTGAAATGAGGAATGCCATCGCTTTCGACAAGCCTCCTGCTGGGATTTCACTTTATAGAGGGGCTAAGAAATCCCGGAGTAGCCAAAGCTTGTGAGGAGAATATTGGCCTGTAGTGTTGTTTGATGCATGTTGTATACTAATAAGCAGTGTAGCTTTTTCCGTGAGCTGATGGAAAAGTCTAGTATTCCTTAAGTGTTTCTTAAATTTCTAAATGTGGCTCATTTTATTTAAAAAAAATTTTTTTTTTTTACCATACTGCTGTTTTTTTTAAATGTATGGAAATGGATTGAAAGACAAATGTTTTTACATGTATAGTATCTTCTTACTGATTTGTGATTTTGATTATGTAGCAGGGATAAAGTGTTTAATTCACCATGCTCCTTTCTTGTAGATGGAAATTGTAATTTCTAAACTTTGCTGTAGCCAGTCTGATTTGCTTTTGTGAGCCCCTCATTCTAGGTGAGGATGTTCACAAGGATTAGCGTTGCCAGCATTTAAGGAATTATTATTTTTTTAAAGATTTATTTATTTTTATTTGAAAGTCAAAATTGTAGAAAGGAGAGAGAGAGAGAGAGAGATTTCCATCTACTGGTTTACTCCCTTAATAGCTGTAATGACCAGATATGGGCCAGTCTGAAACCAGAAAACAGGATTTTTCTCCAGGTCTCCCACTTGGGTGCAGCAGCCCACGGACGTGGACCATTTTCTGCTGTTTGCCTAGGCCATGAAGCAGGGGGTTGGATGCGAAGTGGTGCAGCTAGGACTCCAACTGGAGCCCATGTGGAATGCCAGGTTGTTGCAGGTGGAGGAACACAACTCCAGCCCCAGGAACTATTCTTAGGGATCAGCCATGATCTAAATGTTTTACATATAGGAACTCAGTTGAACTTAAAGAAGACAGGCATTTTATTGTCCTTGAATGGACAAGGGAAAGAAACATAGATTAACTAACTTTCCTGAAGTCATACTGTTAAAAAAAAAAACAAAAAAACGTGGACTGAGGACTCAGACCCTGCCTGGTGAATGAATCCTGACTTCCACATACTTCTTCTCCAGGCTGTGTTGAACTTAATATGCACTAGGAACATGGCCTGTGTGTGAGCTTTGATGTGGTAGTACAAACCACTCTTTCTGGGACCATTTTTTTTTCTTGGGGAGCAAATGTACCCGTGTCTCATCTTCTCACTTGATGCCGACATCTATGAATGTGCAAAGGAGAGGTTAAGGTCATGCAGCCATAGAGCAGAGAGTGGGGATTCATGATCTTGGCACCCTCTGACTCTTACAATCTCCAGGTTGATTGGATCCCTGTTATTTTCTGGTGTCTGGCTGATTGCCAGATTTGCAGTTTATGGTTTGTCCTTTTCCTGAGGATTTGCACCTGCTGGTGCTTCTTGGCTTTCTTGGCCTCACCTGCACTGCAATTGATGTTCCTCTCAGACATCTGATGGAGATTGCTGCTGATCCTCTGCTGGATGTCCCTGGGCAGCCTTTGCTACAGGAGCAGCCAGCTCCTAGTCCTTCTCAACTGTTGCTGGGCTCCACTGAAACCATACCAAAACCCCTGGGTTGGTTCAGGAAACCTCGCATAAAGGCCTCACTGTTTGAGTCAGTTTCAGGATGTGTGACAGCCTATGACGTGATCTATTCCAGAATCCTAACAGGAGGAGGAAGAGTTCAAGTCCTCTCTGTCCCTGTTACTGCCACTGCCTTTTTCTCGCCATACCCAATCCCTCTCTTTCTTCCTCACCCTCTCCTTTTCCCACTCTTCTTCAGCACTGGAGATGTGCAGGATTCTGTTTCGTGTTCCCTTGTCCTAATTCAGATCTCCAGACATCTGATACAAGCGTAAGAATTGATGGTAAATTGGGGGAATCGAAGACTACTCAAGGAGCTGTGTCACCCAGGCATGGTGATTAACATGCTAACAGGAGAGTAAGAAGAATTTGGAGCATCCTCTTTTGTGGCTACAGCAAACTCTATCGTGTTTGCCCATGTGGGATATTAATGTGTTCGTTCTGTTTGCGTTCTTTCAGTAAGAAGTCTTAATCTCTCCACCTGCTCTCAAAGGGGGTTTCAAATGGACCAAGGGAAGGTCATGTTTCAATAAGTCAGAAGGGGAAACTATGCTGATAATCTTTAAAATATAACTATTATAATAAATACTTTCTGCTGCTCATAAGCTTTGTTTGTAATTGGTTGACTTGCTTTTCAGACAATCAACTCTTGAATTTATCCCTTGATTCTGATGTATTTCTGCATTCAGTTTCCTTTGCATTAATTTATATTTAAAAAATACTTTTAGTGTCTTTAAGTGAGTATGACTCATTTATAGTACTTTCCCCTCTCCCTTTGTAATAAAAGTGTTTAAATACTATGAATTTTCTTTTAAATGCAGCTTTGGATTTGTTAGGTTTGTGTATATGATGGTTAGGTTTTTTAAAAAGCACTTTTTCAATTACATTTAAAGATTTTTTTAATAGTTATCTAGGAGATTAATTTTAAATTTCCAAGGAATTGGAATCCTTTCTCTTAAGTTTTAATTTTTTTCTTAAATAATATTAACTTAATTTTTGGTCACAAACAAAAATGTAACAAACTGCTGCAATGTTACAACTGAGTTGCTAATTGTTCCATGATTAGTAATGTGAAGCTGAATTGTGAGGTGTCTGAGCTGGCCAGTGCAGGCCTAAGGAGCTAATCGATTAGGCATTCCAGTGTCTCTCATGGGAACTATGTCCTGGCAACAGGTTAGCATCTTGTAATGACAGCCGTTCCTTTGGGCTTAGATCTCTGTGGTGATGATCTTGGATTAACAGTTGTGGTTGGCTGGAACTTCCTGGATGGCAGCAGCTTTTGTTGAAGTTTCGTGGTTAGATGGTGCTTGTTGGGCTGGCCTGCTATGAATTTGTTAGAGGTCTGGAGACCTCATCTCTACTTGTCTGTTTTAATAGATTCGTCTCCATTTGCCATAGTGACCTTTGGCTCCACTTCCAGTGGTCCTTTCTCCCTGCAGAAGGACTTGGACATCTGTGGGAGTGGCTGGGCAGCAGAGAGCTGCTATCAGTTGTATTATGTGCTGGCCCACACTGTTGGAGAGTGTGCCATTGCAGAGGTTTTGTGGTACATTTTCAAATGAACAAAAAGAAAAGGAAAATTACCTCCTAACACCCCGAAGATGATGCCTACTGTTCATACTGTATTACCTTTTCAGTACTTCATATGCAGATACCTTGTAATTTTGCTGTGCATATTTTGCCATTCCATTAGTGCTCTCTGTACCATCATGTTTAGAACATGGCATTAGAATGTTCGCATATATTCTAATCTAATCTATTATATTTGGATTTTCTCTCTCCCTTTTTAAAAAAAATATTTTATTTTTTATTTTATTGGAAAGACATATACAGAGAGAGTAGGAGAGACAAAGAGAAAGATCTTCCATCAGCTGATTCAATCCCCAAATGGCTGCAATGGCCTGGGCTGAGCTGATAGGAAACCAGGAGCCCGGAGCCTCTTCTCCCACATACATGCAGGGACCCAAGGCTTTGGGCCGTCCTCCACTGACTTCCCAGGGCACAAGCAGGGAGCTAGATGGGAAGTGGAGCAGCTGGTATACGAACTGGCACCCAAATGGGATCCCAGTGGATGCAAGGTGAAGATTTGGCCACTAAGCTATTGCCCCGGCCCTCTCTCTTGTTTTTGATGTTGATTTAATTTCTAATAAGAATGACAGAGCATTAAACACGTTTCCTTATTATTCAGATTAATTCCTAGAAGTGCAGCAGCTGTGTATCAAAGAATAAATGAAATTTCAGAACATTACTGTGACTTGT